TCTTCCTTCCTTCCTTCCTTCCTTCCTTCCTTCCTTGATCTGCCTATGCTATACTCTGAAAAATTCCCTTTTCTTATGTCACCACTTGGAAACACCACAAGCAATAAATACAGATAGAGCTTTCCATCAGTAGACTGGCATTTCCAGGATCTCTGTAGGAACCTTACCACTGCCTTGATGGTTGAGTGAGAAACTATAAGGTTGCAGATGAAGTATTGTCAGAAAGATTTTATAAATTTGGATTAGATTAAATGTTTATTTTAATATAGCTATGGCTTGATTTCTGCATTATCATCAGTGTAGAAACATACAATGTTGTTCGTTTTCTGACAAAAGACTCTGCTTTTGACAGGCAAAACTAGTTTTGTCTGACATCTCTGAAGCAATTCAACCCATTGTGATCTGAAATGCTAGAGTGGATTCTACCACTTTTTATCTCCCTGCACGTACTATGGGCTTATCCACATTGCTTGTTGCCTTGTTGCAAGAATGCACCAGCAACCATTATTAGAAGGTAGAAATGAACAATATCACTTATCATGAAAATGACCTCCGGGTACATTTTCTGCCAAGGTTTAAAAAACTATTTGTTCCTTTCTGTTGTTCTGAATGGTCCACTCTGTTTTAACTGTGGTGCTTTATTTCCTTACAGGCTAACTCCAAGAAGAAATGCATGCTCAAATGAATCAATAGTTACATTGATTTCTAATGTTTTTCTAGAGTTTCCTTTTAACTGTGGTGTTGAAATAGCACAGTGGCTGTGATCTTTACTGAGCATATAGAACATGCTGATTTGAAAGTCAGCAGAATTCTTTAAAATTGCTTTTTCACTTTTCTTCAGCTAGCTAGTTTTATCCTCCCCCCCCCCATAAAAATAAGTCCAGGGCTGCACCATTTAATTGTTTCTTCAGTCATTTTTTTAAAAAAGGACAAACTAGCTAGCTCAGAAAAATAATGTTTGTGTGTGTGTGTGTGTGTGTATAGATAGATAGATAGATAGATAGATAGATAGATAGATAGATAGATAGATAGATAGATTTAACATTCCTACTAAGTTCTGAATTGATAAATTTCTATATTCGAGGCAATGATCATAGCCATTGTGTTATTTCAGCAATATTGGAAAAGGGAGGCATAGAAGCTGTTAAACTGCAAAAGGATGACAAGAAAGGAATTTTTATTTCAACAGTGTATTTTGTGCCTGCTTATACACCATGCAGTTTCCACTCTGTTGAGCCTTTAACTTGAATATATAAAAGTATAAACTAAACTTGGGGGGAGAGACAGATAGACAGTCAGACATATAAAAAATGTGTCCAGGAAGACCCACCTACATGAAGTAAAACATTGGCTTTCCTGGAACAGAAGGTGGGAGGGCGCACTACAGGGGAATTGTCCAATGGGAGGACATGGTAGTCTCTGTCCAAACTGAATCCTCTGTTGCCAAAGTTTCTCAGTCTGAATGGGATTTTCTTGAACTGACTTAGATGCAGAAACAGCTTAAATAGTAAATGCAGATATTTATAGGATTTAAATAACTGAACTAAGAAAAATCCCAACATGCTCTATTCTCCTTGCTCTTGATTTATATTCCCTTCTGAATGCTACATTATCAATCAAGCAGAAAACAAAACCCTAATCAAGGAACTACCAAGGAGAAAACCACACCAATCCTGGCAGGGCAAGCTATAGCATTTAAACAGGGAGCAAACCCCAGGCTCAGCAGCACTGATGATGTTACCTAGCTGGGTAATGAAATGGCTGCAAGTAAACAATCAAGCTCAGAGAGCACCAGGGACTTCACAGTTCAACCCTGAGCTACATACATTCTCTTCTATTGCTATGTTATTTCCTTCATTCCTTCTTCTCATCTTGACATACCTTGAGGATTTTTTCTCATTTTGCTTTAGACCTAAGAACAAAAATCTGTGTTGGATTGTGGCCTTCAGACTTTCTGTGGATTGCTATTGCAATTTCTTTTCTGCAAATCTGCAAGGTACAGAGATCTGAAAATTAAAACTGTGCAACCCTATATAGATTTTATACATACATACACACACACACATACACACACATATAAACTTTAATTTCCAACATAAATATAAGGAACATGGGATCATTTTTAATTATTATCTTGGAAGACATTATTTATGTATGAACATGGTTTTTTATTGTATTTTTATTGCATTTTTAATTAATATTTATTCCTGTTTTACTGTAAGCTCCCCAGAGTCACTTTTGAGTGAGATGGGCGGTGACTAAATTTGAAATATAAAATAAATTAATTAATTAATTAACTTATATTTACTTATACAGGATCTCCATTTTTTATATTATAATATGATTTGTTACAAAGGAAAAGTTTCCTTTACATAACTTTTTGTCAAGGAATATTAAGACCCATAAAAATCATTCCCCCTTATTTGAATGTCTCTTTGAAAAAATGTGTATTGAAACAGTTAAGCAAAAATGTGGACATACTTCCTCACTTTCTTGTTTGTGTCAAATGCTCTACAGCGTAAGGGAGCGATGTCTAGAAGAACAGAAGAGACGGAGACAACGAGCAACCAAGAAGATCAGTACATTTATTGGCACTTTTATACTTTGTTTTGCGCCGTATGTAATCACAAGGTAAGTTTCATACTACTTCAGTCCCCTCCAAAGAAAGTTGTAGCAAGGCATCCATGTTACGCATCTCAGCAGATACTGAAATATCCACTTGGCAACGTTCTGCTCAGGATTTTTTTTTTTTCGCCGCACTGACAACTGTTGCCATCTACTACTTACATTTTGTTTCTTGCATTATTAATATTCCAGCAGATGCTGAGAAGAATGGAATCAGATTCTCATTGAAAAAGATCAGACAGGTGTTAGAATGTTGACCATAAAATGCAACCGCTTTGGTATGCTATATAATGCATAAATGCATGTACATATTTATTTGTGCACAGATATTTCAAGCCATAGCAAACCTTTTGAGGAAGATGTCATGTCATATATTTTTTATAATGTTTATGAACCTGAATTTTATGATGTTCTTATCTAATAACACTCAGCATTTTGGCTATTTAACCTCGAATATTTTCCTGACACTTGCTCAACTTTCTTTGCTCCCTTCAGCTATTACTAGTGACATCTCTGCTCGGTGCCACATTGCAAACATTTAGATATCACTGTAAAGGAACATTTGAAATGGCCTCCACATGGTGATTATTAGTAATAGCCCAGCTTTATCACCTTGGAACTTCAAACATAATTTATCACTGCTAAATAAATTCAGGAAAATATAGAAAGATGTAATAGTAACCAGACAGGGAAGGAGTATACAATCCAAATAGCATTATAGGTAGTCCTCACTTAGCAACCGCAATTGGGATAGGCAACTCTGTTGCTAAGTGCAATGGTCATTAAGTGGAAAATTACATGACCGCGACAGATTTGCAACCTCACTTCCCATTTGGTCATTAAGCAAATCACCATGGTCATTAAGGAAAACATCACGTGAGTGCGACTTGCAATTTTACTTCCACATTCTCCATTAACTCTGCTTGTCGCAAGCCAGTTGGGAAGCATGCAAATGGCAATCATGTGACCATGGGATGCTGCGACGGCTGTAAATGTGAGGATTGGTCGCAAAGCTGGTTTTTTTTACACTGTCATAACTTTGAATGGTCACTAAATAAGGCAGTTGGTAAGCAAGGACTACCTGTAATGGAATTATTAATGAATAAGAGTGTACAGTTTACATCCACTAACACAAGGTCACAGAAATCTCAGTTGTACCACTATGACCAGAACAGTTCACTGTTGCTGTGAAAAGGTATAAAGACTAAGGGAAAACTGTATTCAAAAACTTCACTTAAAATTGTTCTAGTGGAAATATATTATTGAAATGTTGATTGCTGTGCTTTAAAAACAGCACAAGAGGGAAAAATCTAAAAGGTTATGTTAGCTTCTATGAACATTTGGAATGTGTAGATTTATTTTTAACAAAATAGTTGATGGAAAAAATGAGAGTATCTTGGTACACACATGAAACTTAAAGGAGTATACATAGTGATGTTAGTTTCCTGGTGCTAATAATTCATGTGCGTATGTCCAAACTGTGGGAGTTTATCAAATACAGTACTTATCTTCTGCTTGTATATTTTGACTCAGAATCCAAGATGTTTATGTGATACATGTAGTAGCCCCTATCCAGCTTCAAGTTTCCTTAGAATAAATAATTTATCCAGCCTTGCTATCTCCATACTGGTGGATTTCAAATATTTTGAGTTTCCAAAATTTTCAGATGTAGTAGTCTGTGGTCATGCCTACTGAGAATTATGGGAGTTGTATTACCAATACATTCGGAGACACTGAAATCATGAAGGCTAATTAAAACATGTTAAATCAAACTCTAATTTTGAAAATGAAACAGCTTTGGTCACTTGATTACTTGCACAGTGAAGGCTAATTTTCCTTTATCTCTTATAACTGAAAGATAACCAGCACATCATCCAGATTTATCTGGAAGCATTGTATTAAAATGATTCCTCCCCTATTGCCACAGTCAACTCCAGAGACTAACAATGATGGAATATTGCTCAGTTCCTGGAAGTTCTGCTGTGAAGTTCCAGTACCTTGTTCTCCCCCCACCAAAAATATTTCCTATTTGTATGAAATTAAGGGGATTTACTAGGGGATTTAAGGTGAGGTACCATCAATATGCCAAGAACACCTAGTTGATTCTCTTTTTTTCCATCAACACAAGACTAATCTATGCCGGTATTTGATTGTTGCTTGGAGTTGGATGAGGACAATACATTGATGCTGAATCTCAAAAAGTAAGATAATGAATCAGTGGTTGCAAGGCACAGAAATGAGAGAGAGCTTGCTCTAGATTCTTCTCCGGAGTAGTAGGTATATAATTAGATTTTTTTTTATTGTTACTGGTTCAAAAGACCATAATAATGCAGAATGACTATTTCTCATTTTACCACTTGATTTTTTCTGCTAACTTGTCAATTATAATTGTTTCCAAACTAATCCATTATTTGATGAGTATCTGTTTAGATAATTGTAACATGCTTTTTATGAAGCTGATATTGAAGATTGTTGAGAGCTTGCAGCTATCTTTGAGACTAATTCATGTTGCTAGTTTTATTTTAATAAGCCTTAATTGTCATACAGTAAAGGTGGACAATCCATCTGAGTCCCCAAGACCCTTCTTCTGTCTTACAATCTGTTTATCTTTCCCTTTCTATTACCCTGCCTATGTCTGGAGATTTGCTATAGAAGTATTTCTGGCTACTCCAGTTGGTGGAATTTCTTAGTGGTAACATATTGATTGTGAAATATTATCTCACTACAGCTTAGACTCATGCCCAGAGTGGCTAGTTTTTGCCATCAAGTAAAGTTAGACAGATGACAGGTAGATTAGATTAGATTAGATTAGATTAGATTAGATTAGATTAGATTAGATTAGATTAGATTAGATTGACAGGCAGCCAGATTTACCATTATGTAGTTGGGCCTATATAACCAAGTAAAATGGTTAAGGACAGCTTTAAAAAAAAAAACCTCTTCTGCCTGATCATTATAAACTGTGTTTATAAATTAAAGATAGATAGATGACAAATAGAATTCAATACTGTCTAAAGTAAATAAATATACGTATCCAGTGAATAAATGTATAAATCCACCCATGAATTTATGTTTTGCAAGCAACAAGTAATAGGTTTGATCTCTGCCATTTCTAGATAGCCATTGGAATCAGTGTAAGACCGCTTTGCGTTTTTACATTTGAGGAACACTTGAGGCTCAAATGGGAACCTGAAACAAAGGAGCAGCTGCTTTAAAGCAGTGCTGCGCTCTTCAAAATCATTGCAACAGCCTTAGTCCATGGAGTCTTGCAGGGGTTGACTATTGCCTATTTCAATCAGTGTCTAGCATTTGCTGTTCATGCTTAGTCTTTTTCTGGAAGCATGTAACTTGAATCACTCTATTAACTGATACCAGTACTGATCAGTTAATGCTAAATGGGCTTAACTTTATCAAATACAGCCACATTTAAATAGCATATAGGCTACTAGTACTGGGAGATGGTTCACTACAACTACTTTCCTGAGAAGTTTTATTCTTCTAAATATATGTCTCAGTTTTGTGTTATTCATTGATTGATTGATTGATTGATTGATTGATTGATTGATTATGTGCCATCTCTTAGTCATCTCTTAGCAACTGTATAGATTTTCTCCAGGATTTACTGTATATTTACTGTACAATTTGTTTTTAAATTTAATTTGTATTGTTTTAATCCTAATTATGTATGCCACCCAGAGTCACCTGTTTGGAGTGGTCTGTAATTTCTGAAAAGCAAACAAATTTACTAATTCAGTATTCATACACTTGAGTGTCTGTTTATATTAAATTACAGTATTTTGCTAGTCTTATTTGCATGCTCATAATTTTTATCTTCTACCTTATGTTGTGTTGTATCCAATGGCTAGAACATATAAAGAATATATATTGACTTTTAAATGTTTTTGAGATGGCAAGATTGATGGCAATTGATATGTCAATTCAATTCAATTCAATTCAAGCACTTCTTCCTATAAAGTGGCCAAGATGCCTAATGCCAGCTTGTAAAACATGATATAAGAAGTTGATGCCAGTCTTAATGTAGCATCAGTGTAGAAGTGTTAGAAGTGAAACAACAGAACATGTGTTGAGGAAAGAGAGCAATCAATAGCCCAATTTTTTTAGCAACCTATGGATCTTTTTTGTCTTTGAAAGCCACAGGATATCTGATAGTAGTAGTACTAGTGGTAGCAGCAGCAGCAATAGTAGTAGTAGTAGTAGTAGTAGTAGTAGTAATAATAATAATAATAATAATAATAATAATAATAA